CATTCAAATGATCCTCTGAGGCTTCTGATGCTTTTCTTGCCTTAAAGTTAGCAATGAGTCGCACTCCTGTGTTGGCTCTGCCGGATTTCACTCTTCCCTTTACGCTGGAAACTGACACTTGCAGATCGGGGGTGGGAATCGTTCTTTCTTAGCAGGGCAGGCCCATTGCTTACTTCAGCAAAGCCTTGGGGGTGAAGAATCAGGGCCGCAACACCTACAAGAAGGAGTATTTGGCTGCTCTCATGGAGGTTGATCAATGACGTCATTATCTAGAAGGGAGACCATTTACCATTTTAACAGATCACGAGAGCTTGAAATATTTGTTCCAGCAGAAAATTCACACTGAAATCTAGAAGGGGTTGGTCAAGCTCCTCGGCTTGGATTTTCAGATCAAGTATATGCGGGGGAAGTTTAACGGGGCTGCGGATGCCCTCTCTCGTCGGTTTGATAGTGATGAGGAGCTGGGTGATTGTTCGGCCCTATCTACAGTCCTCCCAGAGTGGTTGGTTGAAGTGGGGAAGACATATGCTGGTGATCCGTGGGTTACCGACAAGATTGCGGAGGCTGTTTGTACGCCATCCGGGCCTTCCTTGTGGTCTTTTGCACAGGGCATTCTCTGGTACAAAGGGGTGATTGTGGTTGGGGCTGCTGGCTTTAAGCGCGACAAGTTATTGAAGTTGTTTCATTCGTTTGCAGTTGGGGGTCACACGGTAGTTCAGGGGACTTATCAATGGCTGAAGTCTCATTTTTACTAGGTCGGGATGAAAGCAGCGGTTCAAGCTTGGGTGAAGGCGTGTGATGTCTGTAGTCGTTGCAAGGCAGAGGCTGTGGCATCACCGGGTCTTCTTCAACCTCTGCCGATTCCAAATATGGCTTGGCAGGACATTACCCTGGATTTTGTGGAGGGCTTGCCGAAGTCCCAGTGGAAGGAGGTTTTGTTTGTTGTTGTCGATCGCTTCACCAAGTACACACATTTTTTTTGCTTTGGCTCATCCCTACACGGCGGCGTCGGTGGCACAAGTCTGCTTCGACGAAGTTTTTAAACTTCATGGCATGCTGAAGTCGATCCTCTCAGATCGGGATGCTACCTTCACCAGCTCTTTCTGGACAGAGTTCTTCCGTTTGCAGTCAGTCAACCTCCATTACTCGACTGCATACCACCCGCAAACCGACGGGCAGACTGAGCGGGTCAACCGGTGTTTGGAGGATTACCTCTGCTGTATGACGTTCCATCGGCCTCAAGACTGGGCTGCCTGGTTTACTCTAGCCGAATGGTGTTATAACACCCATTATCAAGTCAGCCTTCGTCTTACTCCCTTCGAGGATCTCTACGGGTTTCTGCCTTCTTTTTCGGGCTCTCGTCCTGGGCGGCATCGGCGGTTGGTGCGGTGGAAGATCGTTTGGATTGACAACAGCAACTTCTTCCTTTCTTGTGTCACAAACTCACGATCTCCCAGAATTGGCAGAAGCAATTCGCGGACAAACGCAGGTTGGAACGATCCTTCCAAGTCGGCGACATGGTGTATTTGCGGCTCCAACCTTATCGGCAAGGGTCTGTTTTTGGCCGGCAAGGTAACAAGCAGGGGCTGAGGTTTTTTGGACCATATATGGTGTTGGCCAGGATAGGTGAGGTGGCTTACAAGTTGCAGCTGCTAGAGGATGCGAGGATTCACCCGGTGTTCCATGTTTCTCAGCCCAAACGTTGTTGTTCGCAGTTTGTTCCGGAGGTGACTGCGTTGCCAGGAATGGATGATAATGAGGCCCTGAAGTTGGTTTTGAAGGATATTTTGGCTCGTCGTTTCGTGCAGCAAGGCGAGCGGGCTGTCACACAGGTTTTGGTTCATTGGACTCATCAATCTCCTGCCGATGCTACTTGCTGGGAGGATTATTGAGTTTTCAGGGCCAGTTTTCCCTCTTTTCCAGCTTGAGGACAAGCTGCGTTTTTAGGGGGGGGGGGGAGTTTTGTAATGACCCAGAACTGCTAGTGACAGCTGGAGACACTACAGATAGTATAAATACCCAAAGGGAAAGTGTTTTAGCTATCTTGGAGAATAAGTCAAAGTTTGGTTGGAATAGCTATTAATTTACCAATTCTTCTATCATCTTCCCTGTAATTCTGCTTCTGTTTCGCTGGAATAAGAGATTACGATCCCCCGTCCTTACAATTGTCCAAATCAAAAGGAGGAAGCTTTGTCTGAGGAGTAAGATGTTGGGGCTCAAGTTAGGGTGTATAACTTTAGGGTGTTTAACATGAGTAATTAAATATGGATCATTTTTTTCTACCAAAAAAATAAATATGGATCATTCTTTTCAAGTGGACTGCAGATCTAAGGATGGAGGATTAAAGACTTTTTATTTTCTCTAGTTTTCTTAATTTGATCATATCTTCTTTATTCTAACTTGGATTTCAATTTTTTGTACACAGATGAAACGAGTTCGTTGTGCGCTAGAAAATGTGATCCATTTTCAATAGTTTTTGTGAAAAAGTTTTCATACCTCTCATTACCAACTCCATATAATATGGTATCTCATTCTTTTTTAAGTCATTTTCGAAAATTTTTGCACAGAAGGAAAAAATTAATCATGATCTATTGGATCCAAAAATTTATGGGTGAACAAAATACTGGACCAAAAATACCATACTATACCACCCTGGTATGGGATGGTATATTTCGAACCATATGGTATGCTCTTTTTAATACCGATCAATACCACCATGATATAGACTAGTAAAGAATGACTCAATTTTTTTGTTCAAAAATATATCAATGTGGATATCATTTTGAAGAGTACAATTAGTCTGATCTTACTGTGCGAAAAAAAAAAATTCGACTTAAACGAGAGAGAAATCATCTTTTGAATATTAAGAGGGAAAAATTAAAGGCTTTCTATAAGAGAGAAGGTGCACTAATGTGGCGCATTGGACTTGGATTATGCATGGTTATTGACCATAGAGTTATGCATAGGATCCGTTCCCATATGTTGGGGCATGCCGCTGTGATGGAGGGAACGTGAATGGCAACCGACGACTGAGTAATACATATTAGAGGAGGAAAACAACAAATACAACATCGCCCTCAAGATGAAGAGCATCCTTCTTCCCCATGCATCAAAAGGCATAATAGAGAAAAGATCTACGTAAAGGGACTAGAAGGCTCTAAGGAAGAAAAGAAATTAAAAGTCTCTAATTGTTACTGTATGTAGGAGGAAAACCCTCTTTGGTGGTGATTTTCTGGGCTTTTGGCCGCTTTTTTGCATTCTTTTTGAGAAAACCCCACAAATCGTCTTCGGATTGGTTCATCGCAACCTAGGGTTCCGCCTACTCAATCTTATCTCCATGCTAAAAGGAATCCAAAATTATAATTGATTTTGCCTCATTGATTTAATTGCCTAACAGAAAATAGAAGGATTCAAAGAAATGAGGAAGAAGGAAGGAGAGAGGAGAGAGCAGAAGAAACTTGTATGTCACTAAGTGAAGGAGGAAAGAAAAAAGTAGTAGAGGACAAACTTTGGAAGAAGAGGCCAATACGTTATTTCAAAATAACTAGGTAACCTCCAGTTATTGTCAATACCGTGTTTTTGAGTTATTTACAAATAACTCGGGAGCAAATAACTCATCACTCTATTTTACACCCAAATGAGTTATTTTGCCCTAAATAACTCGTTGTGAGTTATTTGGCCAGAATAACTCGTAGAAATACCCCATCCAAACGACCCCCAAGAGAATAACGGTCAATCTAATAGTTGACTGCCACATCAGACAAAGTTAACAGAGTTGGACGGAGAGTGACCAAATTTGAAATGTTTAAGTAATTTTAGTGACCACGAATGGAATTAAATATTTTTAGTGACCAAATTTGAAATGTTTAAGTAATTTTAGTGACCACGAATGGAATTAAATATTTTTAGTGACCAAACTTGAACCTTTTTAGGAAACTCGGTGACCAACTATGCAATTAACCCTACTTTATACTAAAAAAGATTGTTTTTTAGATCAGAAATGAAAAGGAATTGCATGTTTATCTGCACCATGTGAGTGAAAATAAGCTCGAAATCAACCAGATTGGTTTTAGGGGTAATTAACATAAACAGACAAACTTTTTCACTTTTTATAAAACTGTTACAAATTTTTAATTTATAAAGATATGGTAATAAATTTTTTGAAATGGTATGAAATGGCCACTTCTGTTTAATTTGTGACCATTTGTATTAAGTGCAAAGGTTTTGTTACCGATTCGTTACAAATTAAAGTTTGTGACCGTTTTGAGGTCGGATCGTATGTTCTTTAAGTATATGACACTAACCACTTGAACAACATGAGTTGTCAGGTCGTGTGTTTATCGATATACTTTTTTTGCTGAATAAGAATGCAATATGTTTACCTTTCAATTCCTATACCTAGAACGTAAGAAAGTAATCAGAGTTTTCCCTAATAAAAAGCAGCATATAGCCCATGTGTGAGGCATTGAATTCTCTCACTGTCATCTTTGTTTTTTGTTATGAGTATTGTCATCTATTGTTACGATCATATCATTCACATGAATTAACAAAGTCATCATACCTCGACTGAAGCGAATTGTAACAGTGATTGATCGTCCAAACATTTGAACGTTGTAACAACACGGTAATAAAAGTTTGAACTTATATGAAATAGTCATTCTGTTTAATTTGTGACAATTTATATAGTACAAACTTTTATTACTGTATTGTTACAAATTAAAAGTTTGTGACCGTTTTGCACTATGTACAAAGATTTGTGACCGTTTATACTAATTACACTTGGTTTTAGTTGCAATCTTACATGAACTTGTGTCAGGATTCAAGCACCAAACCTATCCCGACATGAACAACTTAACTAACAAAGACCTTTAAGTGTCAACCAAAAAAAAAAAGTGATTTAATTTGTGTGTCAATATATACCATGCCACGACATCTTCACACACTGCGACTACTCCATTTGATTCATTAGTACATTCATGGCATCCACATATATAAGAACTTGTGCTTATTATTGGTTTTCAAATCATGAACACTACTGGGGAACCTGAATTATTCAATTTTAGTTCCCATAGGTTTAACAGATGATTTAACAGGGCCAGCCTAGCAGCATATATGCCATGCTCGGCTTACTACTAATTAACTATACATCCATCATATTGAAGACGCCAAGCATGGTCCTATGGTTGCATCCACCACCAGCAGCTTCGTTATCATCAGGAGCAACCGGAGCCAGCTGAAACCTGCATCCAACCGGTTCAATCGGTCAAACCATTGATCATGGAGTTTAGTCGAATTATTCATTGTTGGCTGGCAATTATATGTTTCCAGTTTAGGGATGACAATTAAAATCGCCACCGTGGATATCTAATTATTCTTGATCCAAAATGAAGAATTCTCGTATTTACAAGGTATAAGGTGGGTACGGACGAAGCCGAACATTAGTGGGAATGAGGTGAGATTGATGCGTGCTTCCCGCGCCATGCTCATACCCATCCCACCAAGACTATAATATAATTTGTCACCGGCAAAAAGAGTAATTAGAGAGCAGAATGTTGAGTACTACTTCATTAATCACGTGCAGTAAACACAAATGGAAGATCTAAATTCATATTATGAATGATTGTATGTATCTTGTTGATTTCATGGTTCATCAGATCTGTTTCAAGAGTTAACTTTAAGTGTACATTTTTTTTTTTTTTTGATAATGTTAACTCTAAGTGTAAATGCAAAAATCCCTATACATGAGGTATGAGATGGATACATGTTATGATTTTCGGAAAGGGAATGTGGTCGATTTAGGGAAACCCAACGATAAAAATATAGATGGTAGATAATATTTGAATCGACAGAACCAACTCAATATAATGGTTTAATCCTTCTCCCAGTCACCTAATTATCGAATCGAGTTAGACCAGGACACTTTCCTCACAGTTCACATGGAGAGGTTATTAACATTTGAAATGGACGAAGGCAATGGATTGGACAAGAGAAATCACATTGTCTCATTAAGTGAATTGGCAAAAAAAGCTTAAACCATAATCATGAAGAAAGGAGATGATCAGCTAGCTAGGAGAAAATGACAAATTAGTACCTGGTGGGAGCTGCTGCATATGCTGCTGTTGCTGGTTGTACCATTTTGTGCTTGTCTTTGGCCATCTTAATCTTCCTGCTGGTAGGCCCAACAACTGCTCCATGATGATGATCACCTTCATCAACAACTTGATGGGATTTCCTTTCCTTTATCTGCCACAACAACCAATAATATTGTTTTGCATCATCATTCATCAACAGCCACCTTTTAAACCCAACAATCAAAACCCTCTCCCCAAAAGTGGCATAGACCACAGTTCCACGAGCCCACCACTAAGCTAAGAGCGGCCTTGAATTTGATAGGCAAAAAAAGAAGAAGAGAGCACAAACCTCAATCTGCAGCTGTTTATTCTCTTCACCAAGATCATGCTCCTACAAGTTTGGCCATACATACACAATTATATTCCAGGAAACAAGGAGTTAAAGAGGTTACAACTTAAAATGGATCGTCAAACCCAGCGGCAGCTAGCCAGAATGTACCATTTTCCGCAGTTCTTCCAGCTTTTGCAAAAGCACTTGTGTCTGCAATAAGAAAACCAAGTTAAAATCAGTACTGTCTGTCTGTCTCGAATTCAAAGATGCACGAGAGTATATGACTTGTCTGATGCATGCTAGCTTTACCTTCTTTTGCCTAGCTCGGGAGAGAGCCCTGTCCAGCTTCCTCTCGATCTTGAGCAACTCTTTCGCGCTCAGGGTTTTAATATCCTCCCCTTGGAAATGCCTTGTTGCATAAACCAGTACACATAATCAGAAACTATAGTGTCAGTCTATGTATAGATCAGAACGGAGAGTGGTTATACACCTACCTATGAGAACGTTGCAGTGCTTCACATTTCTCGTCCAATTTGGCAACCTCCACGCATAAGTTCTGCACCAAATTACAACCCTCAAAACTTCACCAAAAACAGCCCAAGTACAAGCTCCGTATTATTATGGTTTTGCTTGTATCGCAAAAGAAGATGAAGGGGGGGACCTGAAATGGTGTTCCGGCATGAGCAGAAGGGTTCCCGCCTTGCGAGCTGTTGTTGATGTAGTTGCATTGCCTGTATCGCAGAAGGGTTTTTTTGACTCTGAAAATCAACACCAGTTAGTCTAGTCAGACAGATTAGGAAGGAAGGAAGTGGGTCTGGAGAATGGCCGGGGTGAAGTTAAAAGTGGTGGTGGATGAGATTCTTCATGATGAAAAGTGGGAGGCAAGGAAAACACAGGGAGAAAGAGAGATGAATGAGAACCCTAGGACATAGAAAGAGTAGTGGTAATTGCCGCCTGACCATGGCCATACTTGTCTTCTGTACACAGGAGGATAGTAGTAACTAGTACACAGTTTCTGACTATTGATAAGAACACACATTACAGCTGCCATCCATTCCTCCCCTCCACCACCACAACAAAGGTTGGGACTTGGGAATTGGGATTATGGAAAAAGTAGTAGAGAAGCACACTAATTAAAAATAAAGGTAGTAAAACGTGTCAAGACCCCATTGCTTGGGTTCCTCTGTGTCACTGTGGCTTTCACCACTCACCACCACCATAACTCTCTCCTCTCAATATCTCAAATAATCCAATTAGTTAAAAACAAAGGCAATGTCTGTGTATTTATATATATATATATATATGCAGAAGCCAGGTGCTGGATCGCGTACCCAGAGCTGCCGAACTCAGAGAGCTTGCCGCGGCTGGAGAAGAGGATGAGAGCGACCTCGGCGTCGCACAGAACAGAGAGCTCGGTGGCCTTCTTCAGCAACCCATTCCTCCGCTTCGAGAAAGTCACCTGCCGGTTCACCTTGTTCTCTATCCTCTTCAGCACCACTTTCCCTCGCCCCATTTTTCTGCCAATCTAATTCCCTTTCCTTTCCTTCCCTCCCCTCCCTTCACATGATTTCCAATTCTTCTCTTCTCTTCTCTGCTCTGTTGTTATATAGAAGAAAACCCTATATCACCCACCATCTGACGCTAGCTTCGAATTATGAATATCTTGACTCGACTTGAAGGAGAAGAAGAAGAAGAAGTACTGTTTCTTTAATTCGGCCCTCAATCTCCGACCTCTTCTATGTACTCTTGGTTTATTTTGCGTCCTGGTTTGGTTTGGTTTGGTTGCTGCTGATTATGTATAGGAGGAGGAAGAGAGGAGATCGACTACGTACGAATCTGACCTATCCGCACAGCAAAATGGCCAACTCCCCTCTTCTTTTGGTTGTATAATGCGACCCCAAAAACCATTATTGTTGTACTCCCTACGCTGTTTGATTATATTCGCTTTTAGGGTTCCACGAATTCATCAAACTGGGATGACGATACCACAGTATTTATTTTGGTTATTTAATTTCTAGATTTTAATACTATTCTGCAAATATTCCATATTGATTTTAACAGTTAGGAGCTCCCAAATACTTATTGAAGTATTTGGGAGCTCGATAGGAAGTCCAGATTAATGGATTAGGTCGATCTCATTCAAAAATGGTCTTCTGGACTTTCTATCGAGCTCTCAATCACTTCAATAAGTAGAGGGAAACTCCAGCTTCAAAACAAGCCATTAATCTTTAATTTCCATCTGGCCAATTGTATTATATGAATCTCCATAGTAGGCACCATGAAACTGTTTTTACACTGAAATAACAGATTATGTCGACCTAATCCTAAATGAGGTCAACCTAATCCTAATTGAGATCGACCGAAAAGTGCAAGTCACCGTTACATGCATATCACCGTAGGCACACCCTAAAATTTATGTATGTTAAATTACCTACTATATATCATGGTTAAGTCAACAAAAGTAATGATAGTGGTCTAGTTTCTCTTTAAGGAGGATCCTTGAGAAAAGAATTTGTTTCATCGTTTGATTTACCAAACATTTGGCATACTAAGCCCTCACAGTCTGGTCCTTTCTCATCTTAAATATAGTTTTGACCGTTTGTTATTACTTATTAGACACTTTTGGCGAAGACTAGTGAGATGGCTCAATCCGACGCCACCCCTCAATTAGGGGTGGAAATTGGGGTGGGTATGGTTATCCGCCTTACAATTTGCGGGTATCCACACCCACATATTTACAATTATGCTACCTACAACCCGCACCGCAGTGGTTAGTGGGTAACCACTAACCACTATGGGTTTGTACGGGTTGGGTGTGATTACCGGCAAAAATCCATATTTGCAAGCATAGAGTTCTAGTCGCCACTAACGTATTTGTTGTTCGTAACTAGATTATAGTGATATACACTTGTGCTGTTCGTGGAGATACAATTTTGTACATCGATCTTACTCAACGTGGATATTTTTTCTTTTTGAGTTTGGTATTCAACTTTTGTGCCAGAGAACTGTTATTTCATATTTCCCCGACTAGGGGTGAAATATGACAATTAAATATGATCTTGTATTTTTTCACACAAAAGCAAAAACATACCGATAAAAGTTACAAAAGGTGTTCACTTTTAATGAATTGGTTATTCTCCACTCTATCGATTATAGTGTTTTATAAACTAAAAAATTCTTATATAAAACTGGTTAGGTGTGTCTTTTTTATTTGGTGGCTACTTTAATTTTTATCCTCACACTTTTCACATACTATTATATTATAAAGTTAATTCACTAAATAAATATAATTAGTGTGGTTATTGTGTATTTTGTGGGTTATGCACGGTGGGTAGTGGATAACCACTAACCACAAAAATCGTTATTTTACTACCCACACCCAACCCACTACCCACAACTTTTGGGTATGGTTACCCACAATAGGTGTGGGTTGGTGCGGTTTGCGGATTATCCACAACCAGCCACCCAAACTTCCACCCCTACCCTCAATCAATTAAAAGCTCAAAGCCTCCATGAAAGTCTAGACCAAACCCTAATGTGTACGTATTTATTTCTTTTTTAAATATCTCGTTCTTAATATATGTGGAAGATGTGATTAGAAGAAGTATGATACATTGCTAAGGATTTAATTCATTCATTAAACAAGTTGACTTTTTTGTTTAATGACTGAAGTATGAATAAAGAGGCTTAAACCCCAGCAAAGAGAAGATAAGGACAATCATTCCATTCCACAGTATTATAAACCAGCCAAAAAATACAAATGCACACTGTCATAAAAGACAGATTCACAGCCCAAAGTAGACGCACACGTAGGATGATAATTTCGACCTGACTCATTTTACTCGACTTGTTTGACTTGTTTTTGGGCGGGGCGGATATGGGTACTCTCATCGACCCGACCTGTCCTGACCCGCCCCATTCTCGACCCGTTCTTGCCTAAATTACATGTAATCTTAGTCAAATTTTTTATGATTTTTCTTTTATTACATCATATTTTAGCTATAATAAAGTTGTAAATTAGTGAAAACCTCAATTTCTTTAATAATTTAACTACATTTATCATAATATTGTTTATTTTCTTGATCTTATAATAAAAATAAGGAATATTTCTAATGTTTTTCATATAAATTGCATACAAATTGAGTCGACTTGCCCCAACCCGCACCCCGAGTGATAAATTACCCGACCTGCCACGGAACAGGTCTAATTACCGAAAATCCGTCTCGGAACTAACCCATTGCCATTCCTACCCACACGTACACACAGAAGAAAGCAAATGCAGGAGCGAAAATTGATACGAGACAGCATCGACTGGAATAGTGGATAGCTTAATTTGACGTTGATGAGTATTTAATTATAACGCACTGTTTATGAGTTCTCAGTTCTCTCCATCCGCTGGTAAGGCCACAAAGAGTCTTGAAAATTTAGCTAAGTATGGATAAGTTATGTCCACGAGGCCATGTGAAGTCCAAGCCACACATGCTTGTGATAAACTTGTGTTTGGCCTTGGTGATGACCTTGTGTGATGACCTCTCACATGGTGGGACCTTGTGTTTGATTTGAATGCTCCAAGACAGAGGAAACAAGAAGGTGACCTCTCTCCAGTAGTAACTCAACCACCCCCTCAATGTGATAGTTGTGGTGAGAGGTTCGCTTCCAGTTTCAACACCAGTGATGAGGTCGTACATGTAGAAGGTGATGTTCAAACACTCATTCTCGAGACAAGATCACATGAGACACCTGTCAATGAACGAGTTGGTGAAGATCCATTCAACGTGGATGAGCTACCACCACTTTCTTGCCCACCCACAATGCCACCCCTAGTGAGTAGGCAAGGAGCGGATTATGATGGACTCAAACCATCTAGAGCCCAGCATGGGGGCATGGAAGTCTAACATCCCACAAGATGAAATCTAGAAGTCCACCTAGGGGGCTGGTGGTGTCCAACATGCCACATAAATCACAAGACACACATGTTTGTGGTAAGCATGCTAATATGGCTAAGCCTAGAGAGGGGAGCATGCCACCACCCACAGATAGTAGATGTGGAGGCATATCCAACAAGTTCTTATGTGTGAAGGCCACAAAGAGTCTTGAAAATTTAGCTAAGTATGGATAAGTTATGTCCACGAGGCCATGTGAAGTCCAAGCCACACATGCTTGTGATAACCATGTTAGTTTGGCTAAGTCTGAACATGGGGGCATGTCACCCATCATGAAGTATGAAATAGGGGGCATGCCTTGGAAGACACAACTGGTCCTAGCCACCCATGGTTTTTGTAAGTGTAAAAATATGGTTAAGTTTGCATAAGATGGCATCCCAGCAATCACAAACAGTGGACATGGGGGCAAGTCCAACCAGGAAAGACGTGGCAAAGCCAAAAAGAGTTATCGTAGTCTTACGAATATAGCTAAGTATGGGAAAGGAGGCATGTCACCCACGATGAATAATGGGGTAGAGGGCATCTCCAAGAAGCTAAAAGAAGTCTAAGCCACACATGCTTGCGAAAAGCATGAAAATTTGGGTTAGTATTGACAAGAGGGTATGCCACCAATCACAAACAATAGACATGGGGGCAAGTCCAACAAGGAAAGACGCGAGAAAGACAGAAAGAGTTTTCGAGGTCTTGCGAATTTGGCTTTCAAACCCGCACATGAAGTTTGTAAGCGTGAGATCATGGACAAGGGTTGACAGGAGGGCAAGTCCATGTCAATGAGTAGTAAGTATTTGTCGCCTGATAACACTGAATTTGCACATGTTTTTACCCCTCCTTTCTTAATTGTTTAGTTTGGTGTTTATCATACTTTGACCTATTTTACGCTAGGTTGTGTTCCTTTGTCACATTCCAGGTCCTCGCACGTAAAGTGAAGCATAGGCTCAATTTTCAAGTCAATCGGAGATCAATTAGCGACTCGAGGGAAGAAACTCGGGCATGAAAAGAAAAAGGATGAGACTACGAGCATCTGGGATCAAACGGCGACTAATTCGAAGTTCGAATGAGGGAGAAGGGATCGAAAGACAACAGCCTATCCAAAGTTACGGGCTGGCCTTCAAAGTTATTATTCATACCGTAACTTTGCCATTTTGGTTGTAAGTCGTAACTCGGGGCCACGGGAGGCAGCATACATTCTAGAAGTTACGGCCTGAACCCCAAAGGTCACGGCCGTAACTTGACTTCTGTGCGCTGTATAAATGCATTTTTTGGGATTTTGAAGAGGGAGAGTTGGGTTTTGGTTCCCAAACACCCAAGGGGCAAACCCTAGAGAGAGAACGAATTGAGATCAATCTTGAAGCTATTTTGGAGGATTTCTTCACCATTGGAGCTCAAGAATGAAGCTTGGAGATGGAGAGTGAAGATCTAGATCAAATTTCTGCATTCTCTCTCTTCTCTATGGAGTAACTTCCTTCACTTAGGTTTTGACAAAACCTAGTTTTGTATGCTAGGGAGAGTTGTATGAACTTGAATTCATGATTGATTGACGTTTTATATTCCGTTGAGGCTTTGATTCAGAATTACTTGAGTCCTGATCAAATTCTTGTGATTCATGCTTTAACCTAGAACGATAGTCTATGCATAGTTTAATAGAACAACCTTAATTGGAAGTAGTGAATCGATTGCTTTAGTTGAGAAGTCGATTCACTACTCTGTACTGGAATTAAAACCAGTAGTGTAAGTTTAGTGTGTTATTGCCCTGGTTAGTTTACGCCAGTGGAGGTTAGTCGCCCGCCGGGTATTCGAACTGAGATGGTCTGGATTACTTTAGTCGAGATTCCAGACTTGTCAATAACTTTCCACAGTGTAAATGTAAGCTAAATTGAATTGGGTGAATTACAACTTGGCCTAGCTACAGACTAGGGGAAATCATACCTAAGTGAGTTTCCAACCTGTA